GAGAAGTTTTGCCTTTTTCTGCTTTCCTGATCCTACCTCAACCCCTTGACCTCCTAGTTCTGATTCTCCCAGGATGTGTGACCTGCTACTTACCACTGTGCAACCCGTACTCACGCACTGGATCCGTCTCTGAAGTGCAGAGCTGTTCAGCCCCCACAGTCAACCCCAGAGACGACTCTGGAAGCCAAAATGTGATGATTGATTACAAGAAAAAGCAACTCATTATTTATGCTGGATGTTTGACCTGCAGATTTACTTGGCAGGACGAATCTTCATGCTGATGCTCTTCAGGGAGTAATCAAATCCCTTCCAGAAATACCATTCCACTCCAATAGCATAGTAAGTCTTGTCAGCCCCCCAGAGATAAACCCCATTAGGGTTTGTATGGTGACAATTATTGTACCAGAAAGCACCCAGATATCTTTTGGCACAGTTGTTTTCGTTCCACTTGTCCTGGTCTTTGTCAAAGGTGGAAAATTTCTGTCCGTTGTGAGAGGCAAGGCTGTCTCCTGCAGAAATCATTACAGGACACGAAAACTATATGAATAAAAATAGACATTGACTTGAAAAAGTTAAGTAATGAAGAAAAAACTGTCATCAGACAAAAATAAGATTTTATTTTTTATATATCAAAAAAATACTGATTTTGTAAAAAGTTGTTTATGTTTTGTGAAATAAATCAGAAGAAGTTATGTTGTTCTCTTACTAGGCTATTAGCAGTGAGATCAATTAAATTTACTTTGATCAGGTTTTTTGCTGTGAACTGCCAACATCAATCTGTTTGCTTCAGAACCATAAGAACAAACTCTGGGTATAGATATCACTGACACAACACATTTAATCCAATGGAAGTGGTTTCTTATGAATCCTGAATGGTCTAATTATAGCAAATTAGCTTTATTATTAATATTATAGATGTTATACATATGTAATAACACAGGAGTCCCTCAGGGATCCATGCTCAGTGCCTTGAACTTTACTTTCCAGAATCATTGCTCTGCTTTCAGACCCAGAACAAGTTGAATAAAGTTTGAGAAGGGATAAACAATCAATCCATCCATCCATCCATCCATCCTGTCTAGTAAAGTTAGGATGAGGTTTTCTCATGACTCACCAGCGCCCCCTTTGTTGTTGAAACCACTCACATGCAGCATGTAACCGTCACACTCAGCATCGACTTTAAATGAGGAGTAAAGGGCAAACTTTTTGTTTCCTTCAAAGTCCTCCATGTCGACCATCAGTTCATGGTTCTGAAGTCGTGTCAACTCATGGATGTTATCAAGACCTGCACAGACATGAAAACCATTAAAATTGGATTTTTACTGAGACTTGTTAATGCGGATTTGCAGGAAATGAGTTAAAATGTTAAAGGGATCATTAAAGGCATGAATTTTCACATTCCCTGTCCTGTACCTGCAGTAAATACACCATCACTTAGCAACA